AAGGAAGCCTGTGAACTAACTTCAAATCGCACTTTCGTCGCAAAAGTGATATCTTCTCTGCTGATGGCTTGAGCCTCGCCACGTAAAATAAGAACATTTCCGCGATGCGCCTCTTGTTTTTAACCGTATCTCGAAGGCGTTCACAGGCGCCCAATTTGGTTCGCCCGGGGTTAACCGCCTCTCATCGTGGAAGCTTAGAAGGTTAAAGCGAAGGGGATTTTAAAAGAAACTTGGAAAGTTTCATTATCTTATAAAGTTAAAGAGGTAAAGATAAAATTAATGATATTAAAAGAAAGAGAAAATAATGCAAAATCGTCTAAAAAATCTGTTGTTTGTGATACATCAATAAAACCTACTGAAAACCATCATGAAAGATTAGGCGATCTTCAAATATTCAATAACGTTTCTGAGTAGACAGAGAAAAAGAAAGAAAGAAAGAAGGAAAGAAAGGGCTTATAATGAAATGATGAGATGACGAAGGATAAAGTGGAGAGCCTTAACCAAATACCTATAACGACGTATCTACAAATGAGTTCTAAGCGTTAAACAGTTGTTAGTTTAAAAATGAGTTAGTTGTTCTACAACAGTACATATTTCCTCGCAATATTTGTAACTTTTGAAATTTGTGAAAATTCGGAGATCAACAAGAATGAGACCCATATAAAATTCAGCCATTCTTTGCTCTGTTCCAAGAAATAAATTAATCCAAATATTTCAGGCTTTTTTGAGAAAATTTTAATGTTTCAAGTACTCCCCAAATTCAAAATATCCTTTTTAATTTTGCGAGGCCTTGATGGGTCAGGAATTATCATTTTGGAAAGAGCCGTCTGAGCGACTTAGGTGCTAACATTCACTGCAGGGCAGAAATACGTTTTGCTGGCAAGGAGTGGAGTTGGGAGGGACAGAAGAGCCGGGCGTTGTTGAAGGGGATAGTGCAGAGGACCGTGTGTGCAAGTGGAGTGGGATAGGAGTGCAGCGGATACAGGTGGAACGAAGAGAAAGGTAGAACGGATCTCGAGGAATGAGGCGTAATGATGCAGACTGATACTGAGTGGAACGGAACGAAGCAGTTGGTGCGGAAAGGGGCGCAGCAGGGAACAGCAGGGAGGAGAGAAGGACGAAGTGGATCGGGGCGAGGCAGGGTAAAGAGAGGCGGAACTGCGCGGAATGGTGCGAGGCAGAACAGGGTGAAGCGGAGCGAAGAGCGGTGGGCGGTGGATGCTGCGAGTCGTGGCGTGCCGGCGCGCGGCGAGGCGGCGTGTGGCCTGACGAGGGATGGTGCTGAGTCGGGTGGAGAAGGCGGGGCAGCGCGGGGCGGCGCGGGGTAGCGCGAGGTGGGGCGAGCGGGGCGGACCGGGGTGGCATGAGGTCTGGCGAGGAGTGGTGCTGAGCCAGGTGCCGCAGGGCGTTGCGGGGCAGGGCGGGGCCGGGCGGGGCGGGGCGTACGGCCGCGCACACAGGGTGTTGTGTTCTTGCCTTTGCCTGTCATCCGAGGTGGCCGCAGCCACGCACCAGGGGGGTCACGTGTCAACCCGCGGCCGCCACCGCCACCGCCGCGCGTAATTGCGAAGGTAACGCGACCACGGGTGGCGGCGCAGGCCCAGAGAGACAGAGAGAGGGAGTGAGAGATGTGGAGAAGGGGGAGAGAGAAAGGGAGTGGAGTGAGAGAGCAGCGGTGTGGTGGCAGGTGGCGGCGCGGCGCGGCGCGTGGGTCAATTAGTCGGCCGTTTGATCGCCGCAGGTCTCTCACCCGCTGCGCCAGCCGCACGCCAGCTTTGCGCTTTGCAGCCCGCGCTACGACCTGCAGCGCGGCCACCAGAACGAGACGCGCGATATGTAAATGGTTAATTATGGGGGTGGCACGCTTCAGCGCTTTTTGTGAATCCAAATGCGAACGCGAATCTCGAACGGGTTTTGAATGTCAAATCTTCCCGCTTGAGCAATTTATCGCAAGTAGGTTGCAATAGTCAAAATTCACTATTCAAAAAATACAAATTTGAGTTAATGTACTCTCCAAACCCATCGCAAATTGGTCTAACTTCCAGCAGCAACATCAGCATATTGTACAGTAAAGTATTGCACAACTAATAAAAGAAGTGTGAATACAAGAATGATGCATTTCAATGCAAGGTGAAACCTTTAAACACATCTATTTCAACACTTGTGTTTTTCAGTTGTGCTACTATTACAGCTCATCAGCCCATAAGCGATATATCAGATGTTAAATATTTAATTAAAAAGTAATTAAAGTACAGTAATTTCTTTTAGATAAATTAATATTTTTATGATAAATATCACAAAACATTTTTTACTTTAATACGTTTATTTACGAGATCTTCGTACATAAAATATGAAGCAAATTATATAATGACATACAAATGATCACTATGATTTTTGGTAATATTAGGTAATCACTGGCATTTGCATATAATTGCGTTCTTTGGATTGCTATTTATTATTTTGAAATAAGAACTTATTATTAAGAGGCATTTTGTGTTAAATCTCACAGATGTTATTTACTCGTTTTGAAGACTGCAAAAGGAAAATAAAGAAAAGAAGATTGATCTCACAGATTTGAACGTAATGGAATTCAAAAACCGTTTGAGACAATAAACTACCTATACTGAGCATCATTCTGTAAACTATATTTTCTTTAATTTTTGTTTGTAAGATAGAACCCTCCAATTCTCGTCTCGTCTAATGACTCTCTGATTTGTCAAACACGAAGATTGACTGTATCTCAGGAAATAGGGAACTCGTCACTTTTGCAAAAATGAGAAGGCTTGTCTTCAATTTCCTAACCCAGATATCAAGAAAGTTGAAACTCTATCCGGTCCTACGAGTGATATCATTCACAGCTCGAACGCCGTGACTTAACACCCTCAGCAACATTCCCATTGTCTCAGATGCAGAGACTGACACTTTTGAAGCTTCAATTCGCTCTTTCCAACACCAGGAAGCGAATAGCGCCGGGCATTTTAGTAGTAAGAGAAATTCATTATTTCCTGTTTCCGAGATTGTCAACTGCTAACGTTTTTAGCTCCGCAAGTCTAGAGAACGCTACATCTCGTGAGGTTGCACTGTTCCTCCCGCCTTGGAAGTTCCCTTCGGCGCCAACGTATACGACGGCATGCAGGAGGTTTCCCTCTTCAGGTATCTCTGCCAGAAGGACACGGCTCTAGATGGGACCTGTTCTAAGATCCTGGGTGATATACCGACGTCTGTAGTACTGTAGTGCGTGTAAGTGATATAAAGGAAAAGGATACGACAAGGAAGTGGAAAGGAAGAAATAGCAAGGTCCTAAGCCTGTTTGGTAAGGTATTGAATCAACATTTGCTTTATAATAGTCGGGGACCCATGAAAACCTATTGATCAGAGCAACTGGCGGTCAGAATGATCCTCCATTCAGCGGATGAATTCGATCTAGCTATGTAGCTGGTGTCGAAACGTCTGCCTGCATCATTGCAGTACATTTAACTGGGAGCTCCTAGGGCTCGACACCCGACGTTGTCATGATTTTTAACAGCAGTTAGATCAAATACAGCAGCTGTCTGGAAGATAATTCTAGGGGCCTGCTGCTCTGATCGGTGGTGTTCCGAGATTTCTCCGATCAACACCACGCGAATGCCGAAACAGTACCATAACAAACGGGCCACAAACCGAGCGCGATCTTCCTGGTACTATCTTCTCTCCTTACTTATACACATTTATACAAACACACACTACACTACCACACTTTTGGGAGGCCAGTCGGGAGTTTGTTCCTGCTGGGACAGTGCCTTGCTGGTGGGAGAAACCTGGTTGGCAAAACTCCCTGCAAGCTGACGTAGGTGTCAGTAGGAGATATCACCGTGAGATTCCGCGATAAAATCATACACAGTACATACGGAAGGTATGAACTTAGCAGTTGACGCGTTCGGAATCTCCAATCAATCGGTAAAATCCTGCCACCGTAGAAACTCGGACCTTAGGACCTCCGTAGACATAGTCGTTTCATATACAGCTGGCTACAATGCTAGCTTACTCAACTGATACCTTATTTCTGCAACCAAACCCATCCAGCCCTTCATCTTCCGGTTCCCTTATTTTCTTCCACGCTTCGCCAGCACCAACCTCTCCCGCTCTGCCCACTCCGCTCCTGCCACCTCCCGCCCACCTGGCTTATAATGGATTCAGCCCGTCGCTCCTCAGAAACTGCCCCCATATGCGTGAATATGGATGAGGCGATCATATCGGATGTGCTTGCTCCGGGCGTTTTTCGTCAGGCGACCCGCGAGTCGGATCCTTCGCTTGTTTCCGGGCCGTCGGAGGGAATATTAAGTGCCTCGCGCGCCCGCTACACGCCCCGTGTTATTCCCAGGATTGAATTTGACCGCCTACGCTCAGGAAAGAACAACAAAAATGAATAAACCATCTTAAGATAACATTTTTACTTGTGGGTCGCGTCGAATGCAGCAGTGTATAACATGTTGGTGCAAATAAAACTGTTGCTGACGTGAGTAAAAAGTTTTAAAAATTATTTTTTTTTGAATAATATCTTTTCTTTACAGAATTTCTTAGTAGATTTCTTGCCAAATAATAGGACTTCCTTTGCCAGGGTACGCAACAATATGATTGCAGATCTGTCATCAAACGGGATCACCCCATTCGATAAAATGCATTAAACTATAAATTTAAATGTATAAATTACATCGTCAGGAATTTCAATTTTTTTCATATAATATTGTTAAAACTACTAATCTTCAAAACATTGTAAACCATCAACTAGACATATTCGGAATGGATTGCTATTACAAACAATTCCTATACTTTTTCATCGTAACTAACAAGACTGATGATGTACTCGTTTTTGGATTTGGACGTATTATAAACGCTGACAAACTCAATTTCTATGAAACCTATTCAAACGCTAATTTGTTGTAAAAGGGAAATTTGTATTTAAAGACAGTAAAAGATGTTTTTAATTGAAAAATCTTTTATTATTCATAAAGAAAATTTTCATTGATACAAATACAGATATCAGAGAACACTTGTGTAGAGTATTATTTTCTTAGGAAGAAGCGCTAATAATATGCAAGTTTAAAGTGTATTGTTCAATCAAGTTTCTTTTTCAAAATATAATATGCACACTAATTTTAGCTTGTAATGCAGATTAGCTGTTATCATAAATGGCAAAATTTTGTTTTGTACCATTCGCAAACCATTTTGTCTTTCTGTGGTTTATGAACTAATAGCTGAGTATCATGAATTATATCTACTCTTTAATACAGAAAACTTATCTTAACGAAGTTAAACAAACGTGAAAAACAGTAGAAGAAGAAAATCTTCTCACCCAACTCAAATGTGTGGTGCTTCACAAATGAAAGCGAGCTTCCAACTGTTGGGAATATCGTGCATATTGCCTTCTCTATCCAGGGCGACGTAATTCTGTTCCCGTCCTTTTGAGGGTTCCTTCGCATGCCAACTCTGGAACTCCAAACTAGTCAGGTTTTTGCCTGCAAAAACATAAGTTTAAATCGTTTTCATGCCTCGTAAAACAAAAACTTTCTGGCTATATTATATGCTACAGAACATTATATATCCCTAGTAGTATCTTCCAATTTTTCTCATACAAAATACAGCATTGCAGTTTGCCCAAAAGACTAAGGAAATGAGATATTAGAAATTTTGTGTTGTTATTTGTGAATTGCTGGTGAATCCAATATATGTGGTTCAAATTTATATTTTAATGTATATATTTTTTTCTTAAATCTCAAAATAACTGAAATGAATATAACAACATATTTATCGTCAACATTCAAGTATTTAGTAATAACATTTAGCAGTATGCTATTAGTTTTTTTCAACGCAAGAGTTAAGATATCAAGATTGCATCCGCTCATTGAAGTTGAAGCACAAACACATTCAATGAAAGTACGAGAATACGTTGCGTCTGCGACGATCCCTACTCTTTATGCATTTGCCAACCTATCTTATCAGAGCACTGCACTGTTAAGATAGGCGTACTTCTTCTGCGGCTGAAACCGACATTGCATTTATCGAGATATAGTAAAAACAACTAGTACAGACGATACACGAGTTCGTTTTCAAGCCATAGAATTATATCCGTTAATTGATATTACTATTTCCTTGCTTAGTTTAAAATCGTAATTTTCGTAGCTTTGTTGGTTCACAAGTTATTGAGTGGAATATTCCGAACAAGAATATTATTTTCGGAAGGAAAAAATTATTGCTCGATCATTAGAACGTCCTTAATGTATAACTGTTATGTCAAAAATATAACGTAATCTAGGCAGCGAAGGATATATTCGCTGCTACAAATGTGATAGTGACGTATCTGTTGATTAAAAATGAGAAGAGGATGCGAGTTAAAAGGAAAAGCAGTGCAAATAAGCTGAAGACATAAAAAGCAAAAACATTGCGGAAGGAAGAAGAAACAATGGCTTAGGAGGAAGGAGGAGTTGGAAAGAAGAGACGCCGGAGAAAAACGATGGAGAGTTGAAAGTCAGGTTGAAGAGGAAGAACAATAAAGGAAGGTTTAAGGAAAATTGAAGAAGGAAGAACAGATCGGCAAAGAAGAGGAAAAGGGGAATGAGAAAGAATGAAGGTGAAGACGGGCAGAGGAAAGAAGACGGAGAAAAACGGAATAGGGAAAGTGGAAGGCGGGAAAAGGCAACGTGATGAAGGGAAAAACGATGGAAGAAAGAGGCTAGAGAAAGTAGCAGGGAGGAGAAATGAAAGGAAGGGGAGCTACCGACCTGTGACGGTGACGTATTGGCCCTCCCGCTGCTCGTCGCTGATCCCCACGAAGTAGAGGTCGGGGCGGTGGGCGGCGACGGGGGCTGGGCTGCGGGCGAAGGCGCGCGTGGCCGCCTCCGCCTCCTTGGCCGTCTCCGCCACCAGCAGCTGCGCGTACTCCGCCTCGCACGCGGCGCGCGCCTCCGGCCACGTCCTCGCGCGCGTGTGCACCTGCCGGCAGCCACACCCACCCACTCACTGGGCACGTCCACGGATTCACGTTGATTAGTGATTCTGGGAGTTTCAACTGATAAGGTCTTTAGCCTCGAAAGTGTAAGGCACCTTTCTTTTCCTCGGGAGGTAGCGATGATTTGCCCCTCCACCTGGATGGTGAGATCCGGCACCGACCTACACGTGGGCCCGCAGGAGTTTTCCCCAACCGGTATCTCTCACAATAGGGGAACCGCCTTGGCCAGCTTTGAGTTCCCGACATGTATGAAAGTGTAGTGCATGTTAGGGTAAGTGTGTAAGTAAGAGATGAGGATCTGGCAAGAAAGGGGACGGAAATATTGCGCGCGATCCGTGATCTGTTTGTTAGGGTACTGCACCGGCATGCGCCAGGTGTTGATAGAGGAAACTTACGGATCATAGCAAACGGCTGCCAGAACTGACCTCGCGACAGCGGCTGAACCTTTTCGAGTGAGAACTTTACATTACATTTAGTTCAGAATGTGGCATTAGCGGCCTGAAAGCGCTGTTCTGCGGATGGGCTTACCTTGTAGAGGCCCTTGACGGAGGCGTTGACGGTTTCGAGCGGGTTGTAGTCTGCATATGGCACGTCCTCGAAGTCGCCGTCGGGCACCGCCCCCTTCCGCACGCGGTTCACAGCGATGACCTCCGCTGGGCCCCTCTCCGCGGACGCCGCCGCCCGCGCCTCGCCCACCACTGCAACCACGCCCGCCACTGCACTCCCCGCCCCATAACAACTAGGCGTGTTTGAGCAACGCGCGGTTCGGAATATCGTGATGGTGATGGTACTGATAAAATTCATAAAATCAGTGTCGGAGGGAACGGCGATCTTCTTGCCAACATTATTGGGTTATTTATTCACTTTCGCTTCTATATGCATCCAACAATTTCTTGAATACTCACTTCTATTCTAAAATAATGGAGAACGATTAAAAAAACTTGTAAAAAGGTGTTTCTTTGCAACTAACTAATAGGTAAATGGGAATGTATGAAGTGCGGTGTATAATGTTGGTTGTTCAAAAAGTTGTACATTATAAGGTGTACTTTCAACGTTCATTAAGTTACTTCAGTATAATACTCGCCACTTCTTACTGGCATATTCCCAAGTCCACGGTGGCACTCCGACCTTGGACCTCTAGGATTTATACACATTATTTATAGACCTCTATAATTAACATTATTTATGAACATATTTTACAGTCCATTGAACGCAAATTCTTTACACCAAAATACTAACATTGAGAGATTAATACTAGAAGGAACCGCTTTGACAGCTACTGCTTGGCCACATTTAATAACATGCTAGCTGACGGTTATGTCCATGCCCTCATTCTGTCAGTGCGTTCGTTTCCAGTAAGCTCATTTGTAAATTGCTTCATCACTCTCTCTCTCTCTCTCGCAACATCACCTTGCATGACATTCATTTATTTCCCGACGTGTCAAAGAAGTCCCTTCTTACACTAACCTCTCTATTGTACTAAACTATTTCTTCTTAATTAAATACCGACACTCCATTTATGCGTGAACGCAGTTTAGTTGGTTGGTTAAGACAATATTCGCGTGCGACTGTCGCTCCTGCATGGAGGGTCTGACCTGCGGCCTCTGTGTCCAAGGTGAGCAGACGGCCACCGTCGCCGCCGCCGTCGGCGCTGCCGTTGAGCGGGCTCTCGCGCTGCGTCACGTCCAGCTCCACGCGCTGCTCCGGCGCGCCCGCGCTCTGCACCTGCGCCTGCGCACGCGCGGCTCGGCTCGCACAAACGCATGTCGACCGTCGACAACGATTGGTCGATCCATTGCTTTGCGTTTGCGGGCGCGGCTACTGCACGGGTCATTACTCCCGCAAGTGTTGTGCATTTTGTGTCATGGGAGGTAGTGGTGGTCTGCCGCCCCTGGATGAAGAGATACGGCGCCGACGTACACGTCGACTGGCGACGTTTGCCCCACACACGTATCTTTCATCAACGGGGCACCGCCCCAGTCGGGATAAACTCTATGTTCACGACTGGTGTGGTGATGTAGTGCACGTACGTGTAAGTGGGTGTGTAAGGGATGAAGATTGCGTAAGGAAGAGGAAGAAAAGATCCATGGCCCGATTCTTGGGGTACTGCTCCCGCACTCGCCTGTGATAGGTCAGAGAAAGCACAGAAAAATGCCAAACAGAGCAGCAGCTGAACGGTAGAATTGTCCTCCCAACATCCGGGAGATGGCTCAGAACATCAACTAATGTCTCTATAGTCCCTCTGACCGAGATGTCCTAGGTTCTAGTCCCGACCGTGGCAAGATTTTCGACACGGTTAGGCCGAGTACATTCGTTGTCTGAAGGATAATTCAAGCCGCCGGCTGCTCTTATCGATACTTTTTCGTGGTTCCTTCGATCAAAGCCGCTGAATGCCGGAGCCACGGGCTGCGCGCGATATCACCTTCCTCTTTCTTGTTCTATCCTCACCCCTTACTTACACAATAGCGTGCACTACACTACTACCCATTTCTGGAGACTTAGAACGTGTCCCGGCTGGGCAGGAGCCCTGCTGGTAGGAGATAGCTAGTTGGGGAAAACCCGCTACCCGACAGTACGTCGGCGCCGGATCTCGCCATACAGCAAAGAAAACACCACCGCCACCTCCCGAGCAAAAACAAACATGCATTACACTTATAGGACTAATAAACCTGGTAGTTGACATGTCCAGAATCATTAAACAATCAATCAATTCTCCAAACATCGACTGAGTTTTTTCAATCTCTGTAGCTAGGTTCGAAAAGCCTGCTATCGTCGGGACTCGAAACCTACTACCTCACTAGTGGTACTGCACTGAAATCAGTTAATGCTATGATCCACCTCACCAGGCGCACGAGAAAAGTAGCACATCTTAGTGGGAATAAGCGCTCTAGCGAAACTTTTCTCTCTTGTTGGTAATATTACTCAACAACCATTCATAAAGTTACAGAAATATGGATGACAATTTGGAGCCGTTTAAAACAATACACTTAAGTAAAAAGTATGCGAAAATAACTCGTGTTTTACAAAAAAGTACATCGAGTTTAATAATCTGATTTTTTAGAACAGAACTCACATCACAAAAATCTCTATGTTCAATATTATACATTTGTTTTTTTCGAATTTAACAAGTACAGGGAGTTCGCGGAAAATGCAATCAATCCCATTTTTTTACCGTTTGATACACACGAGCATAAAGCTTAGAGAAAAGAAATTGTAGCCCTTGAAAGAAAATAATTCCATAAATATTGCTTATATTTCAACGAATATTTCGCGATAACTACTCTTATTTCACAAAATTAGTACGTAATCTTATATCAAGATGTCTCTGAGCAACAGATTTTGTATGGATTTTGAAGGAAATAAAGATATACGAGCAAAAATTCTAGTTGACGGATTTTTTAACTTTTGCAATTTTCGAAAACCCATATTTCGACCAGCGCCTTTTTTATCATTATTTACGCTTTCTGAGGACAAAGTTCAATACAAAAATTGAGAGTTATTTTTGAGAACATTTTGAAAAGTTTTAATAAAGTGTTCTCGGAGATCAAAATCTCAATTTTGGAGAAAATCGTTTGAACGGTTTAAATGCTAGCGTTCTCCACAATCACAGATAGACAGATGAGGGAACGACGGTAAACGGACAGACACGAACGGACTAAGAGACCAGCAGGCAGACAGATAGAGAAATAAGCAGACAGAGACTCAGGCACGGACGTTTTATCTTCAATCAATTTTTCGGAATTTAAAACCCAAAAACATGGATTTTGACTTCACAACGTGTTAGAGAAAGTAATTTACCACATGAGGAACAAGATTTATCTCCTCGTTTGTTACCAGAGTCCGGCAATAGTGTTTTCTGTCGAGAAATGTCCGATTTCCGGCCCAAGTATACATTTTCGTATTAAAAAGACCATATATAAATGACAGTATTTTAGACACCACACTGAAGAAAACAAATTTCATTTTAAAACAAATCTGCATCTTCTGTAATATAGTTGGAGGAGAAGGATGTTCGAAAATTGCCTGTTCACGTCTGCCCTGAGCGATCGCCCTACGTATCATCACTGTTTTCGATATCCTTAGTAACCGTTGCAAAGGTTCCGGGTTACTAGGGAGGCTTAATATAATGGGATTACTCGGACAGCCAGGTCGAGGGGCTTCTGATATCGCAATACGTATCGTAATTACCCTTTCCGATATCGTAAATATTTGCAATATTTACGTAATATCCATTTGAAGATGATACTTGAAAATATTAAAGCTATAAAAATTATCATTTGATCTCATAACAATAATAACAGTAATAATAACTAATAATAATAATAATAATAATAATAATAATAATAATAATAATGTCAGAAAATGATTCTAAAATTTTTATAGTTTCAGTTTTCATTAGTTTTGCATCTCTCCTTTTGAACTTGTGCCACTTTCGCCGTGCGCGTTTCCTACGAAAAAGGCCAGGGCCTGTCGAGGAGCTCACCGCCAGCACGCGGTGGCCGGTGGCGTTGACGTGGCTGCTGAGGTGGAGGTGCAGGCGCACGCCGGCCCCGTCGGTCGCCTCGCACGGCGGCACAGGAGCGGCCGCCGGCAGCAGAGCCCTCAGCAGCAGCAGCAGCAGCAAAGCCCCCAGCCACTGTGCTGCTCCAGCCATCGATGCGGACTGGCAAGCACACACGACTCCAGACATTAGGCTTTATGCGAATAGAAAATTGGAACGAAGGCAAGAATAAATAGGGAAAAAAAGGAAAAGAAGAAAAGGGAAACTGAAAAGTGGAAAAGAAAATAATACACGAAAATAATTAAAGGAAAAAGGAAACTCCAGGTCGCTTAATTTATTAAAGGAAATTGTATAATTAATTAAAGGAAAAAGGAATAACAGGTATATACGCTTATGCACGCTTGTAGAAATAAAAAAATAGGAAAAAATAAAAGAGGAAAAGGAAAAAAGCGGAAAGGAAAAATAAGAAAAGAAAAAAGAGGAAAAAGAAAAATCAGAAAATAATAAACACGTGATTTCATAAAAAGTACCCAACACAAATTTTTAATTCATTCAAAGTTGCATTTTCTCCTTTGTAATTGAAATGGTGCAACTTACATCCACGATGTACAACTGTAAATTAGCGCAACCTGCAACACCTCTAGATTTCAGCTGCGGTGTTGGTGATGACTTTGAGTTTAGAACACAAATCAGAATTTCTGCAGAGTATATATACTTTTCTCTTGGTTTGATTTCATTTTGAGTATGTAAACAACCAAAATACAGCAGAGTGTGATATAAAATATGTTTCATTAACAAGATAAATATCTTTATCGGAATATGATGACTAGACCTTCAAAAGCTGCTTTGTTTCAATAAGCATGCTGTAAAAAACACCTATATTTCATATTACACAAGTCTCTAGATTAGTTTGTTTACGTTGTTTGATTTCAAATATAAATAACTAAATACGTGTTACAAATACATTATATTTGGGCGTGCACTCTATTTGTAATTTTAATTGAAAATGTTACTAGAGATGAATTACGGTAGTTACCTTTCCGCTTCGTTTTGGGATGCTATAACAATGTTCTAAATTTCCTTGGTTCATAATATTCTTGGGTTGGCAATGTTTATAACTTATTTTTTACTTTGTTTCTGAACTTCACTTGTTACTTCTCACTACTTGATGAGAAAACTCTTCTCGCCTTACAATTTCTTTTATAAAAGTCTCAATTTTCTGATTTTCGACAGATTTAGTTGTATTACGTTTATAATTTTTTACATTATTAAATACATAGTTTTTATAAATAAACTAGAAGCCAATTACGCATGAATTTCAACATTTACTGAATAAAAGAATTATCAACCTTGCTTTGCAAGACTTACTGTACGTAAATTTTAAGCTTATTATTAACACATGATTGTGAGCTGAAATATTTGTTGGCAATACAATATTATTACACTGTTGTCATTGCTCACATACTCCTACAGTTTGATGTTGCACGCATAATACTTCTCCCGTATACATCACATACGATGTTACTGTTTCTGATGATTTAATAAATAATTTTTCAGTCATACGACACCATTGATTTCAGTATTCTCATTCAGAATTTTATGGTTACTTTTTAAATCAGTCTGAATAAAATATACTCCTGTGTTTACATATTTATTGTGCTTGAAAAATGCCTTGTCTCTGCATTATCTCCGAGTAAAAGAATATTACGCAAAATTTAGATAGAAATAAGCATTGGAGCAATAATTAATTTCCCCGTAAGTAGACGCCCTAGTTTTATTCAGTTTCCTAAATAGCAGAATGGATCTCCAAAATGTCAATTCCCTTGCCATCTTACTTTGCTTCTGTCTAGAAAATACTCATTGTAGTACCATAGCTAAGCATTCATTGACCTCTTACCAGTAGGAGACTAAGGAACTTACGATAGTTTCCTCAGTATATTTCTCTCATGTAGTTTGAGTTAATTTGAAGCAAAAATTAAACTACTTTGGGTTTGACGACCCATCTCGACTCTTAATCCGAAGGTATTGTACGATATATCCTCCACGTTACAACACTGGGAATAAAATGTTTCATTGTCTACAGCATGGTGAATACAATAATATGATACTTGTTCCATGGTTGAGAGTTTATTACAGAAGATACTAAATAATGTTCTCTGAAGTATTCTGCTAAAACTACGTATTGTTCATTTGACAACAATGTAGCTACCCATTATTGACATCGATATTATAGTCTATCTACACTAAACATCTCTCAATGTCGAGTTATCTATTATTGCACTGGACAGAAGACTTACATGGAAAACATATATAAAGAATAAAAGAAAAGAATTAGACCTCAAAATTAACAAATTAAACGGGCTATTAGAAAAAACCCATCCTTAAGCACCGCAAACAAAATTCTTCTGTATAAAGCATTACTAAAACCAGTCTGGACATATGGAATACAACTTTGGGGAGCAGCTCAAAATTCAAATATTGAAATGTTATAACGTTTCCAATCTAAACGCTTAAGAAAATTTGTTAATGCTCCTTGGTACATAACAAACACCACAATACACCGAGACTTACAAATGACAACAATAAAAGAAGAAATTAACAAGACCAGCGCAAAATACTTACAACGACTACATAACCATCAAAATATCTTTGCCATTAACTAACTAGACAGTAGTGACTCCATCAGACGACTTAAACAATATCATACTTTAGACCTGACATATCGACTATAAATTATGATATTATTTTCTGTTTTATTATTATATATGTTTATTATCGTATATTTTAGTATGTTAGTTTAGTTAAGTTATCAAATATGTTTAGTGTGTGTTAATCTGAAAAAACGTAATATTAGGAGTACGGTCAATGGACCTTATTCCTCTCATGTTATTAAAATTGTATGTAATTTTTCCAAATGTTTATACCCAAACAAACTGCAAAATAAAATATTATTATACAAAAGTTATCCATTATTATGCTCGCCCATAGGTAGAGTTGAACAATCTATCTAAAGAAAACATGGCGTTAAATATTCTCACTATCAAAGTATGAATATAGTGAGCGGTTCGTAAATACTCGTCTTTGCATTATTGTGTAAGATGAATAGAGATAGGAAGTAAACACATTTCTTTTTTGGATGGGACGAGATGATTTGCTTCGCTTATTTTGAATGTGATGAGTTTCCTTATCAAATTAATTTGCCGTTCTTAAACAAATTTTAGACTGGGAAGCACTCAGAATAACAGGTTAAACTTGTAAATAATTATTCTCCATTTAGATTCAAAATTATAATTTTGAACCGTAAATTAAGTAAAAATAATGTTGGATATATTTGGTTCCCCGCATATTATAACATTAATTGTTGTAAAGAAAATTGTTAAGGTGTTCTAAATAATCGTGGTAAAATAAAGATCGTGTAGTTAAATGATTGAATATAAAATGTGTTCATTAAACCCTGCTTTTCCTTATTAATAGATAGAAGTATTAATCATTACTATATTAATTAAGGAACTACACTTCAATAACTTTGACAATGTAGTGTTTGCATCATTTCAATTACTTCATATGCTTGAATCAAGCAAACATCTGAATTTTCCATAGATAGAAGCAAAGATTTTATAATTTATTTTATTAATGAAGTTAAAATTGTAATATTGTAACTATTTGGTCACAGTAATTAAATTAATGAAATATTCAAATACCGTGAATGCATTTTCCTTTCCTTTGTTTGGACACTGTTTCTACTTAGTGTAAAATATGATTTTATTATTGCATTGACCAATATTACACATAGGAAAACATGTACTAAATCAATAACTTCAAATACGTCGTACTTTAATAGTAATTAAGATCATGCAAGAATTGCAGTTTTGTTTTGGACATTGTTTAAAGAATACCTCTAACACATTATTGAGCATACAATATTATTTTAATTACTTTTCCAATAATTACTTTAATTGTGAAATATATGTAACTTTAATACTGGGCATTTTTTTTATTTTGAATGGTTTCCAAAATCGAACTGAACGTACATTATCAATCACTTATTTTTAAAAAGTCCATTTGATTCAGTTTTAACAAGATCTAACATTTTGTGTGAATTATTACGGCACAATACATTCTTTCGAACCAACATTTCAGTGACACTGTAAATACTAATAAGAGTCGATTGAAAATAATGTAAATATCAACTTTTTAATAATAGAAACGGTAATAGTACTTACAATTTGGTCTACGATGCTGTGAGATCACTTTCCTCTGAAATACTGAAAGAGTTTCGCATGCTTTGTATTCTTTTATCGAGCGTCTGTGGTTTGCCCTCTCACCCAAAAGCTCATTGGCTGGTTTTACCGCTTAAACAGTCGATACATACTTCTGATATAGTGTACTCTTTGATATATACCAACATAAAAATCTGATGTTTAAAATATCTTTGCTGTTCCACATATCGCACATCCTGGTGTTATGGTGCGTAAATTTAAATAAATGAGAAAACCGTCTTCTAAACATTTATAGATCTCGAGGGTGTCTTAATGAATACATTGTTGGAACACTGATTGTCAGAATAACCCGTATCACTCAAACACCCAGCGATGGGTTGAAGTTCATCTCAAATATGTTCATTATCAAAATAAGACTAAAAGGATTCATATTTTTCAAAACCTTTTCCCGGAGGTTATAACCTCCAACCATTTCCTTCTCTCTTCAAGTTATCAGGCTATTAGTCACCTCCGTATCAGTGTGTTATTACTCAAGTTACCAGCCCAATTAAACACACAACTATTAAGCAATATTAATTGATGGCTAATTCCTTCCGTCAATCAGTTACATTCTATTAATAACAGTGAGAAAAGTCGTTATATTTTAGATGTACAATTAAAAGAAAATCTTTTAATCTGAAAATTCTCACTCCAGGAAGGAAAAACAAAATCGGTGTAGACGTTTGAGAAAATTTTAATTTTTTGAGCTGACTTTTAACTTACATACTACACAGTAAACATACTACTACTTCTTAAAAAAGTATTCCATTATTAACCGAGAAAAAAAAGCTTACATCTCAAATCAATAAATAAAAATAAATCACTAATCTCTGAAATGTTTGTCAACACATTTATCGATATTTTAATAAAATATAAACGTCTGTCATACATAATTCACAACTTTTGTAAAAATATTACATTTGCAGATGTAACTATGTAAATTATTGTATAACCTATATAGTTTAATTGGAAACTTTCACTATTTTTAATAATTTAAAGAAAAGAAAACTTTGTTACTCGCGTTTAACATGTAATAAGAAGAGGTTTCAATATGATGACAGTGATATCAATAAGCAATTTCGAATGAAATTAATTTGGTTTCACTTTGTCTCTCCCACGTCCTTCGTGAACTTTCGAGAAAATAAAATTGCAATTGTCTGAAAAATAGTTATTAAAATTTTGACAACAAACTCTCTGTGTATTTCATTTCAAAATTGTTTATTTGAGAACGTCATTAACTCACAAAAGGAATTCTTGAAAAATGAAATAACACTTAACAGTCTCCTTTAACGTCAGGGAGGACCTCGAAATTTGGGAGGTATTTCTCAAGGGGACTATGTAGAGCACATTATCTAATTTAACACGGTACCGATAACATATTTCTATTTTTCATTATGGGAACATTACGGGAAGGTACTTCCAGGAATGTATAAGTGAATATTGTTTCCGGGAGCGTAAACTATGACGTTCTTGGAAGACGTAAGTGTAGTGCTTGTTTGCACTCCTCGAAATGGTGGTGTCTCTTTTGCACTGGTACATGTAATCTCGCTGGTACATGTGAGATCTGGGGCCGACAGATACATCGTCTGACGGGTTTTTCCCTCCAAGTATCTTCTCGCAATGGCACACTGCCCCAATAAAGACACGTTTTAAGCTCCCGACATGGGCGGTAGGGTACCCGAGTTGGACGATTCGAAGTCCAAATTTCTTACACTTTTTGTAACTGTCAATTATGTTACGTTGCAAATGAAATCTCTCCAGCGCAGTCCTTCCTGTGACGTGGAATTCAATATAAAAGAGCATAAGATTATTCATATCCTATTTTTGTACTGCCTGTGACACAAACTCAACTATTCCATATGATCCCTTTAACGGTACTGTGGCCCTTCGAAATAACAGGGATGATCGAAGCAGAGAAATGGGCGTTTGAAATGTAAATCGAAGCACTTCGTGTAGATTAATATGAATAATAATGCCCTTAATTGTGTTCGGATTTGATATTTTAATTGGCGTTTGAAATGAAAGTTGTCAATTTTTAGGTAATTGACTGTAAAAATTAATATGCATTGTATATTGCCCGTTATATCCGTCCTTTGAAAGGTATTCGATGTAACATATAACGAAGTGATGGCGCGACACATGTAGGCTTGGATCATGTTTTGGTGGTTCATTATTTGGTGGGAAATCGTGCTGTAAGTGTTGTCCGTTCTAGTGAAGATTTTAAATGATGAGTTATTGGCATTCTGTTATTATTCCCAAACGCTTTGGTTTGTGAGAATCGCCTATTGGTCAATGTTGTTACTGCAATCTGATATAATTTACATCAAATGGTGAGGAACGTATTATCATCAACTAAACAGAGGGTACGAAACAATTAAAAGCAAAGAGATACTATGTTTGGAATAATGTCAAAGGAATGTTCTATTTCAAAAATGAGTGATTATTACAGTTACTATTACCAATCTCACATTCCTTTCAACTCACAGTGGAAACACAAGCATTTGTAATGATATGGATTATTTTCTATGTGGTGTGTATATGATAGTGTGTGTGTGAGAAGAAGAGAGAGAGAGAGATGGAGAGAGAGAGAGAGAGAGAGAGAGAGAGAGAAGAAGAGTGAGAGAGAAAGAGAGAGCGACTGAGTGAGAGACAGAAGAGAGCAACGTAAGAATGCTTATTTTCATACTGTAGAATTAATTCTATATCACGTCCATTTAGCGTTCTTGCAATTGTGGTTACAATGTTGGTGGGTTCTGAGTAGATTTTATTCCCTTCTTGTCGCTATTGAGATATATTGCTCTATTTTAAAAATACTCTTTAAAAAATTAAATACTGAATCAGTACGGCAGGTAAGCTACTCTAAATGTTTGCTTGACAAAATTAAAACTTACTTCGAAAGCTCACTTCTTCAACCATGAATTCCAGATAGGTTCGAGACCTGAGGGTCGAGTCCAGATTCCAGCGATGGAAGGGGTTTGCGCTAGCCAATAAGCCACGAACCCCATTGATTGAACAAATGATACAATTTTTAATAAACATTTGTTCCAAGACTTATCGCAAATTATCATAACAATATCAGTCATTGCTTTCGAAATAAATATGTTTTTTACTTTTTGACATCTTTCCCTTCATTCATGCAGTTTCTTTTGCTCTCCAATAGCCTATTCGTTTTTAGTTTGCTCTTGACACATTATCCACGCTAATTGAATTTTCAGTTTCCTTTTTACAAATTCTGTTTCTATCATAAATCCACTGCCGTTGCTGTGATTAAAGCAACATAGATTATCTTCTATCACATGTGTACCCATATTATAGGAGTGAGATTTGTTCTGCACGTTTGATAGACGTGAACATTTATTCAACTGTTTTGTGTTCTGTATACGTCTTGTGTATCTGCATCTGTAATACTCTTCCTATTGATGGGATCGATGAACAACGAAAGCGAACTGCAGCACAATATATTTTTATCATATTTTCATTTTCTTCATATATGTTTATCAATCTTTTAAACTGTTGTGATCAAGACCACATCCAACATTGTGATTAGGACTAAACTGTGATATTGCGATCAAGATTAAATTGTGATACAAGGGCCAAATATTCATCCAATTAATGTGGTACAAGGCAGTTGATGAATACTTGTGTGATGGGTTGAGACGTTTTAATTGTACGAGTATTAAATATACCTGTGCTACATACTTACAGTAGTTTATTAATCTATTTAAATGAAATTAGCTCTTTGATTATTTCGAAACCAACGTCTTTCTACGGCTTCATATTCTTATTTATATGATATAAAATTGGTTTCACTTGATTTTACAATTTCTATCTGTTTCTCCGGAAAACTGCTGAACAAACTTTTATTGAGACTTGCACTGAAAAGTAGTGTTTTGTCGGGTAAAAATTTGAATATTTTTTTCAAATTTAAACACTTTTTATAATAAGGCTTATTTGTTTGTTTATTGTTTCATATAAATTTATAATTATATTTCTATCGTACTGAAATTTGGTACACAGAACCTCCAAAACAAAAGAAAACTTACTAACTGTGTGACATCTCATAACATTACTCTTATTCTCCTTTCCCATATCAAAAAGGACAAAAAAGTGTACACTCTTTCCGATTTTCGCAAATAACTCGAAAACAATGAGAACATTTACCGAGGAGAATCAAACGTTTCTAAAATTCTACACATTTTCCAACAAAGTGCACTCTGATTCAATCCTGATGCGCAATTAGATGCAGAGTTGTTCAAGGTCCAAATTGTTACCGGACGTTCACCAAGAGTAAGCAACAATTACAACTGGGGTATCATTAGTTCCCTTCAATGTCCTCGAATGTAAAATATATTTATTCTTTTGTATACGATGATGAAGATTATCGAATTACTTGCACTTTATTTCTTGTGTTTAAAGGTCCATAAAACGTCTTTTTACGCAATATAGAGTCTGAATGCGTGACGCTAATGTTCTGTGTTATCTAATTTTGAAGTTTTAGAACTAATCATATGCGTCTTCAAAGAGGTAACTGCATTAAGATGTTATTGTTTTTCCAAACCCAGTATCTCACTCACAAAAATTCCGTCACCTAGGAGTTTTTAAAACCCCATGGTAAATTTACCAGGAGAAAATGGTTTATTACGTTATCTCTGTTACACTTCAATGTAATTTGCATATGTTCAAATCACTGATCTCTTCACAGTGGCTTGAAATGATAAAAACATAAATAATGCTAAAAACAATTTATGAAATTCGTGACTTTTTTTCCAAATGCGACTTCTTCACAAAACAGAAACTCCTTTCAGCTTTACTTAGTACTTGTTGACTCTCAACCGGCAACACATTTTTGCAGAAACTCTTTGGCGATGCATCTTCACATATTGCGGATAGCCCTATCTCCTTCTGTCGGATGCGCTCTTTTCTTTCGCGATTCGATTTTGCGCGGCGCGAAAAATGGGTCGTTGGGGCCACCATATCGGTATATTTCACTCGTGACAAGCAAACCCAATGGAATTTACCCTTGGCATATTTCTTCCGACGGTTTATGGGCGCGAGACAGATGTATGGCCAGGAAAATTGAACACGATATAAATTTGCCAACGCGGAAACTCCTGAGTTTTGGGGGATGCCGTCGGGCGCAACGCGATGGGGAGAAGGCAGGGGCAACGCTGTCACGCCCAACGACAGTGGACCTGTTGCTGTTCGATGCGTCTTCAAGATCCCCGCTGGGATATGAACCGCCTACAAACGAGAGGCTTCTCTCGCGATGCTGTTGAATCGGATGGAATTTTCGATAATGTTGTGTCTTGCCTCCGTATTTGGAGGTATTTCGGAATCATCACAATTACTTTCAACTACCACATATAACAACTAGTTTTCTATGTTCTGACATCTATACAAACCCCATTTGGCGGTTCCTGATTTACATTGGAAGAATTGGAGGTTAGCTGTTTAATTTTATTTTTGTAGTTTAGGGATCCTTCAACTGCTGAGGTTGCTGAAAACCTTGAATTATGATGCAATACAAATATAATTGTATTATATGTAAGAGACATTTGGTGGTGGAATTTCCATTAATTGCCCAGACGCCAAACAAGGGAGCATTTTAGATTTTCTACGAAGCATTTAGACTTACTTCATTGAAAAAAAAATGAGAAACTAGATCTGATGATCATTGAAGCATTTTCGTATTATGTAATAATTCTTTGCAAACCCTTTAAGTCGTAGAATATTAAAAGTCGTTTTTATTTTTTATGGCAAGACATATTTTGTTATATTTTAGACTTCTTCACATATTTTGGACTTTCTAATCACTAGTTTCGGAAAGACCACATCTCTATTATTCCTGTCATGAAACTAACCGCATGATGTGTATCGTTCAAGGTCCATCTGAAACGTTCGGTGATTGGGCGCAAATAACAAATAAAACAAAGCGTGAAGATAAACTTGTTTTATTCGCTTTCAAAGAAAAAATACGTTGACATAAATTTACTTTTGACATCGGCGATTAAGCTGCTGCAATATGTCTGCAAAGGTCTCTTTGGGGATCGAACGATGCACAGACAAAATAAGTCGTTGGATGCCGGGTACGTCTGCAAAACATCTACATTTCAAAACCCTGTAGAGTTGAGGTAATAAAAACAGAAGGACGAGTATGGTGGATGTGCGAGAACAGTTACACGGCGACGGGTCAAGAAGTGGGCGAACACAGTTCGCAGTATGCAGACGAGTGATGTCGTGAAGCAAACTCCACTGACATTCTTGTACTCCTGTAGACGAACGTATTAGATGCTTCAAAAAAGCTTCGTGAAATTATCCATTGACGTTTTATCCGATGCTCTTGAAAACCACAAGTTTCGATTTTCGGCTTCTGTGGGCGGTTCTTTTCGGGGCGAGGCGACGCCGGTGCGCACCATTCCATTGATTACTACTTCAACTTCGAAACGTACAGATCCCAACCCCATGAAGGTGATTTGGAGGACTAATTCTGGAGTCAGGTGTCAAAGAAATCGCCGGCAGTGATGATACCGGTTTCCTTCAGCTCTTCGGTCAAAGAGCGTGGAAACAACAGGAACAGATCTTACGTATAGCAACTCTTGGTGAATGATGATAATTGCCACTTTCTACGATAGGTACAGCAAAGATAGGTGGAAATTCTGCAACTGCAACTGTCGCATGCGCATGATGTCCTCAGTTGCCACACTTGTTGAGCGGCGAACCTCGCCTTCTACGGTGTTCTTTCCCTCCCGAAAACGTTTAAACCAGTCGTCATTTCTGCATTTTAAGCTCAATACATTTATTCCGAACACTTGCATCAGCATTGCATAATTTTTCCTAGTCGTTTAATACAGTTTGTGACCTAACTTCATACGTATCCGTTGTTTCACTTGAAGACAGTGCACGAAAACACGCAATTCGGCTGTTCGTAGCTGGCTGAACTGCGGCCTGTTCAGGCTCTATGCTCTTTACCGCCCCTCCAGTGGTCACGCCCGACACTTGTTAGTTGAGCTCAACTAGCAAGTTCCTCCTATACGGCAACGAAAGCCATCTGAAAGTTTTCAGGCACATGTATAGCAATTGCGGCGTTGTCAAGATTTCTAATCAAATAATTCCTGTGTATTCATTAATTGAGCAATATATAATTTTATATTTTACCGAAAATATTAGAGATAAGATGCGTAACTTAACAAAACAAGATTTAATTTATAAGAAGTAATACAAAAAATATATATCAAGTACCTTGAGGCAACACTGTTCGCAGAACTTCAGTGCGACTTCTTTAGGGGTAATAAATAAATACATTAATTAATTAACGTACTTATTTATTAGGGACTCTTCAACGTCTGTTATCATTGAGAACTATGAGTTATGACCTATTGAGTAAAATATAGGGGTAATGATGATGAGGGAAATTACGATGAAAGTACCGTAGAGTGATTGATCCATTTAGTGTTTCCAAGCGCATCCACTGTTACGGCCATTAGTCACTTAAGTGAAGTGCATGATAGATCCAGGGAGTGTCAGTTAATATTCTTTCCTGGTCGAACGAGAGATACGGCGCTGACCTCCACGTAGGCTAAAAGTGGTGGTCCCTCTCCAGGTATCCCTCCCAACCATAGTCAGCGCCCCAGCTGGAAAATTCACGAGTGGTCTCCGGACACACGTGACCATGTAGTTCCTGCATGTGTATACGTGTCTAGTGAGAGAAAGGAACACAAATGAGGTTGGAAAGACTGGACGCAGCTCGATTGTTGCAATATTTCTCAACATACGTGTGATATTGATCGGAGAAACCACGAAAAACTACCGATCTGGCCAGGCAGTGGTTGAATTCAATCTACCTACGTATACAGCTGTCGGAAATATTCGCGTGAGTAAATCTAAGTACACGTATGGTAGAATGAGAGTCAGGAAAA